AAACAGATGGAGAGACTGAGAGACGCACCCACAGACACACAAATACTCTTACATTCAGAAATCACGGCACTGAAGCCGCTGCCAGAAATCGGCAGAATTTTATTTCCGCGAAATTTCCTAAAGCTAGCAAAGTGTCTAGTATGAAGTAAAGACTTAAAGTTTGAGAAATGAAATATTTCAAGACAACATAATTTCCAAACACTGAAAATAAAATATAAATAACATAGAAATTATAAATTTTTCTTCCTTATCTAGATAAATCATTCGGTTGTATCCGCGCATATCCAAAGATTCCCGTTCCTCTTTTGCAGGACCATCATTGGCGGGCCAAGATAGATGCTGGCCGTACACCTGGAGGGATTGAGGATTGGGCATCAGGTTTGAGCCCCTCGACGAAACACTAGTCTTGATAATTGCATATGTTCCTATTCTTAATTCTTATTTTTCTGCGTTTTATACCATTTCCATTATTTCTGAAATTAACGGCACAGACTAGTTATTCTCTTTAGCTTCACAGCTCAGAGTTTGAGTTGCTCGCAACTCGGACGAGCCAAACGAGGTCGCTCGGTTCGCAGGGGTGTCCACTTGGACACTCGCTCAAGCAGGCACGGATTCAGGTAGCTGGCTCAACTCAACCCGCAAGGGGCTTAGGGCTTAAGACTAAAATGCTGGCATGAGGTTTCGGGCAGCGACTCAGTGACAGAACTTGTCTTAGCAGTAGCGATACGTACCACGAGCTCTACTATGCTACTTGTTGCGAGTAGCGATGGTGTATGCCATCAGACTGGCCCTTCGGATCTGATTTGCGTTTTCGGGTGTAGCATTCTGCCAGACCCAGGTCTTAGTATAGTAGTCCTACTTGGAGGATCATGGGACTTAGTAACTCGGGTTATAAATAAGGTAACTGTAACTATAATCCCAATTAGGGTACTTATAACCTTACTTACTAAGTCCCATGATCCTCCAAGTACACCCCAAAAACCCCTAAAACGCCCTGAACCCCAAACTCGTGCATTGAAGATGTCATCGCCTCCTCGTTTCAGGTGCGTGATTCGCATCTCGGCGCGGGTGTCGGCCTATTGCCATTGCAGGCTAATGGGGCTGATGCTGCCACTCCAGAGTCAAATTTAGGGTTTAGGACTTTAGGGTTTAGGGGTTTAGGGTTTAGGGTTTCTGAGTCAAATTTAGGGTTGAGGGGTTTAGGGTTTAGGGTTTCTGAGTCGAATTTAGATCTTAGGGTTTAGGGTTTTTGAATCAACTTTGGATTTTAGGGGTTTTGGGTTTAGGATTTCTAAGTCACGTTTAGGTTTCAGGGGTTTAGGGTCAAAGGTTTCTGAGTTGAATTTAGGGTTTAGGGGTTGAAGGGTTCAGGTCGACAGTTCAGGGTAGAGTCAGGGTGCAAACCTCGCGATTCTGGTGTGAGCTCCTCGACTTTAGACCCTGAACGGCCAAGCCCCTAAACCTGACTGAGCCCTGGCGTGTGGTCGGCCTATGTCGGCCTGTGGGTTGAGTACACTAACACCAAAACAAGCTCACTTTAGGGTTGAGGGTTTTACATTTACGGTAAGGAATAGCTAAACCCAGAAGGTAAAAGTTACCTTCCCCTAAACTCTCAATCCCCGAGCAGCAATTGCGTGGCAACAGCGCGCCCTGACTCCCTGAACCATCCTAAACCCCTAAACCTTAAACAAAGCCTGAAACAGTGTCAGGTCGCTACCTCGGAAACCACGAGTACTGTAAGGGAACTCGAAGAGTACGAAAAACATGAACTATGCAAGAACTTCAAGGGCACGGTACGATTTTCTATCAGGGAACTAAGGGTACCATAATTAACGGGGAACTATACGGGTACAAGAGAGAATTATAAGGGTACTGTGCTTTAGGGTCCTTGGGGTTGGGGAAGGGACCCTGATTCCAAAAAAGTGGGATCCTTACTACCTTACATAATTATAACACGACTCCTAGGCCAGATGCCCGTCGTTCGAAGAAACATGAAAAGCCCAATTGACCCTTAAACGCTAAGCCCTGACTGTGAATAGGATCTTGCAGGCTTGGGTTTAGGGTTTAGGGGTTTAGGGTTTACGGTTTAGGGGTTTAGGGTTTAGGTTTTTTGCCTCCCACCTAGCTAGGACGAGCCCGCGTTGAAGGGTTTAGTTTAGGGTTTGGCTCAGGGCTTTGTGGCTCAGGGTTTGAGGGCTTTGGGGTTGAGGGCGAGCTGAAGCCAAGGAGTTCAGGATTTCGACTCTCACAGCTGGGACACGATTTCATGTTCCGACTAGCTGCTGTGGATTACGCGACGAGGCTGCTTCAGAACAGGGTGGGAGGATTCGGAGCCAAAGAACCTGCAGTTATATTAAACCATAATATCTGGTCTTATATAATCATGATGTATTTTACTATGGTATTATGGCAATGGTATATTAAAACATCTCATATAAACATTACACTTCCTCGAAGTGAACTGGTATCCCGCCCGAACGCCCGCAACTGAGAGTCGCACAGAAGATATCCTCGGACAACTCTGCCGGGTTTCGACTCACACACTCACACCATGCAAATATAGGGGCCTTTAATAATTAGAATAGGGGCTTGGGGCCCATTATACTGTAATTATACAAAGGAACCCCCAAAAGGGTTCCGGGTTGTTGCCCCTAATTTCGGTGCCTTAATGACTAGAATAGAGTTTTGGGGGATATTGTGCTGACTAGCGCCATATGTGCCCTAGGCTACTGCTTGGGCCAAAGCTTGGGGTCTGGGATGTTTAGGGTCTATGGGGTCTTTAATGTTTGGGGTCAGTCTGTAGCAAATCCGCCTATACAAGCTAGCCGAGATTGCAGAGCCCTCGCATGTCCAGCCCTCCAGAGGTCCGACTGCCGAGGCCTCTCCCGAAATCCTGGGTCCCTTTGCAGTTTAAGTAAACCTAGGTAAACTCTAGACCCTAAACCCGAAACTCCTTTTTCCGAAGCCCGATACCCTAAACCCTAAACCGGAAAGGGTTTAGGGTTTAGGGCCTAGGCCTTTGTTTCAGGAGGGGATGCAGTGCACCTGCGCTCATGTCCAGCCTGCTGCACGGCCACGTGCAAACTCAAGCGCTAAGCCCTAAACCGCTGAATTTACAGGGGTTTAGGGTTTAGGGTTTGGGTTTAGGGTTTAGGGTTTAGGGTTCTTGTACCGTTGGAGTCAGGGACCTTTTGTTTAGGAAGGTCCCTGCGAGGATCCGAAACCCTAAACCCAAGCCCTAAACCCTGCCTGGTATATCGGCTTTCTGGTCTCTAACTTCCGGAACTCCCATATCGGTCTCCTGAAATGCCCGGCAAACTAAGCCCAAACTCTTAATGTAGGATCCTTAATAATTAGAATAGGGTTTTGGGGTCCTTTACATCATAAGCCATAAATTTATAGTAAGGATCCAACACTCTCAAGTCCTAGCTAAACCCTTTTCCGACGTCCACAACCCTAACTAAGAACAAACGCCCTGATCCCGTGAAGCATTGTGAAATATATACTGGAATACAGCCCCCCTTGCCAAATCTTTAAACCTGCCAGTAAGCCCACAGCCTCAAACAAACCTCCCCTTTAGCCTCAAACAAATGCCTACAAAGCCAAACTCAGCCCTCAACCTCGAATTATATATAGCTCGGAACCCCAAAATAGTATAGGTAATGATTATGGCCCCTATATTAAGTCTTCAAGCCAACTGAGCACCAAACATAGCCCTACGCCTCAAAAACCGAAGACACATCCAAGCCTTCCAGCCCTCAATACCCAAACTAGCCCCACTGAACCCTGTAAGCTAAGCAACCCCAGCCCCAACTGAGACCTGAACCCCGGTTTAGGGTTTAGGGTTTAGGGTTTAGGGCTTAGGAACCCCCCTTACACCTACCTTTTGAAAGCTCCTTCTATTTTTCTTGGCAAGGGTTGTGTTTATCCCAAACCCAAAACCCCAAAGCCCGAAACCCCCAAGCGCCTAAAACCCTTACTAAACGCCTAAACGCCAAAACCCCCCAAACACCAAAAGACCCCTAAACCCTCGAGAAAAAACGGATCCCAGGTGCTCGTCAGCTGCCTTTCGCCTGCGGAGGTCGAGCTCTTTTCGACTCAGGAGCCTCGGGTAGGGTTTAGGGTTTAGGGTTTAGGGTTTAGGGTGTAGGGAGGGGTAGGTCGGGTGGGGGGCTCTTTTCGGTAGGGTCTTAGGGTTTTAATAGGGTTTTTATGAGGGTTTAGGGGGTTTAGGGTTTAGGGGTCTAGGGTTTAGGGGTTTAGGGGGTTTAGAGGGTTTAGGGTTTAGGGGTTTAGGGGGGTTTCGGGGGTTCAGGGTTTAGGGGATTCAGGGTTTGTCAGGGGTTCGGGGGTTTGGTATTTGTTAAGGGGTTTCGGGGTTTTGGGTTTGTGGGTTTAGGGTCTAGAGTCGGAGTAAGCCTGTGTAATGTAGGGGCCTAAATGAGTACCAATACTATTTCGGAGGTTCCTTGTAACTCATAGCATAACGGGCCCCAAAGCCCTATTCTAATTGTTGAGGCCCCTATATTAAAAGGGTTTCGACTCTTACACTCGCACAAGGCAGGCATTGGCAGCACAATCACTCTGAGCTCCAAGCCTCCGCGCTTCCGGCATCAAGGTTTAGGGTTTGGCCCGAAAGACCTACCCGTTTCAAGGAGCCGTATAAAGAAGCCATAATAAGAAACCACCCAAAAAATAAGGTAGGTCTTTTCGGCTACAGCTGGGATTCACTCCTCAGGCTATGGGTTCAGGTTCAGGACCTCGCCGAAGACTGACAAGGCAGTCACTTTACTTCTCCGTCTGTTTCGCATGTCTGCAGAAAGTTGCCACATGCGCTCTGTTCAGTGCAAAAGATTGCCCAAGTGGCAACTCTGAAAATTTGAATCGGCTGCTAACAAGTCGAACCATACAGTCTATTCCTTGCATGGCTTCCGACGGTCTGCAAGCTGTACAAAGGCCATAACTGTAAGCCAAAGCTCAAGGACTTCTAGAAAGCATGCTCACACCACAACCTGTGCCATACTTCCGCAGTCACTCTGGTCCACATCGTTGAGGACGGAGAGGTCGAAACCCTTCTGGGCTGCGATCGCCCTCACCTTCTGGACCAGGGCCTCGTCCCGCTTCTGCTCGCGCGTGAAGATCCACAGCCCGGAGTCATTGGTTCCGGAGCCGGTCTTGCAGCCCTCCGTTGCAGGCACAGTCGGTGCACCACCAGAGATCAAAGCATAGCCTGCTCCCTCGTCGTAGTCTACAACCCAGTAAGGGCCCGCGAGGGCACTTGGCAGGAAGCAGGGTGCCACCTCCAATTTCCCACGGGCCTTGTCGACGACCTTGGCGCAAATCTTGCTGCCGGAGTCATGGACGGTGTGCGGGGGTGCGACTTCCTCTGCATGGTTGTGGACAGCCACGTCGTAGCCCAAGAGAGTCTGCTTGGGCTCAAGCTTGTACTCAGCATAGACGCAGCGGTTCTGGGACTTCGGCAGGTACTTGGTCTCCATCTGTTGCTGGATGTACCAGCGCTTGGAGATGAAACTGTCCAGGTCGAAGTCCTTCACCGTTTCGAAGCCAGAAGGTGGGCACTGGGATTGCGCCTGAACTGACAGGAAGTGCTGACTCATAGTCATGGTCTTCAGGCAATCTGCGGGGTTTTTCGAAGCTCCCAAGGACGGACTCACCGAGGTCTCAGTGATGGCGAAGTCCTTCTTCACCGGCTTGCACCCCTCGTGAGAGCCGCAGTAGAGCATGCGCAGATTGCAGTAGTTGGTGGAGAAGTCGGCGACGGAGAAGACTTGGCTTTCGCTGCAGCCCTGGATGTTGCAGGTGCCAGCAGGAGCATCCTCGAAAGTAAACTTCAGCTTGTCCGTGTACTTCTTGTTGCCTGTTATGCGCTGGAATGCAAGCTCGGCCGCACCTTGCTCCTGCTGCGAGTAGGTGCCGTTGTTGTGCGGGTCATGCCATGCGCCGGTGCTGATGCCGGCCACACGTGCCTCCATCTCGGACATGACCTCCAAGCAAGTGGCATC